GAAAAGAAATTCTTCATATTTAAAACTTGTGTATGTATATAGAATTGAACATGAAAACTTCACCCTAAAATTCTGAGTGTTTTAACAGAAAATGAGGAGAATAATGGGGAGGTAAATGTAACAGCACAAGTAAGTGTAATTATGTTCTATTCCAGGCAGTCAGGAATTGTACTTAATACACTTAGTATTAAACCATACTGTCAATTCGGAGGATGGGTTGGTCTTAACAGAAAACGAGGAGAATATATGGGGAGGTAAATGTAACAGCACCATAAGTGTAATTATGTACTATTCCTGACAGTCGGGAAATGTAGAGGTTCCACTGTATTTCAGTATCTTATTTTGCTACATCAACATATAAGTTAATACAGTGTATGCAGTCTGATAGATATATAGATATATATATATATATATATATATATATATATATATATATATATATATATATATATATATATATATATATATATATATATATATATATATAATATATATATATAATATATATATATACAGTGGTACCTCGCATAACGATTGCCCCAAAAGACGAATATTTTGGGTAACGAACGGCCCGATCGACGTCAAATCGTCCCGTATGACGAACGCTGGTTTGAGTAACGTCAACACCACATGGTGGGGTCGCGCTGCTTCTTGCACATTCTTAGACGCCTCCGACGATGCACATAAATTATGTTGTTCTTGTTTAAAGATGCTAATGATGCTGGGATATAAAAGGGTGACTGCTGAGATGTTGCAAAGCATTGACGTTTTTGTAGGAAAAAAGAAATGAAATGTCTGATATACAACAAATGTCAAAAAAGTTCGTTCGGTGTTCGGCAGGTAGGCTGCTCCATTATAACAATCTTTCTTTGTTTCAAATGTGTTCCATTTGTTTTTTATTTGTCATTTGCATCTCAATAATGGAGAAGCCTACCTTACATACACTGAATAAAACTTTATGACATTTTCCTTTCTTCAAATGTGTTCAATATTTATTTTTCATTTGTCTTATAGCAAAAGGTTCGTTCGGTGGTCGGCAGGTAGGCTGCTCCATGTTTCTTACATACAAAAAACGTAAATAATAAAAAAATGAAGAATTTTGAAAACCAGTACAAATGTCAAAAACGTTCGTTCGGTGGTCTACAGGTCGGCTGCTCCATGTTTGTTAAAAAAAATAAAAACGAAAAATAAAAGAACTGTTGAAACAATTTGAAAAATGGATAAATGTCATAAAGGTTCGTTCAGTGTTTGTTGGGTAGGCTGCTCCATTATTGAGACGTAAGTGACAAATACAAAACAAATGGAACACATTTGAAACAAAGAAAGATTGTCATAATGGAGCAGCCTACCCAACAAACACTGAACGAACCTTTTGCCATAACGAATATGAAAGACAAGGGCTGCTGGCTGGGTTAGTACTGCGTGAGCAACCATTTGTGGCACACGTGCCTCTGGCTCTCAAACACCTGTCCCACACGGTGTTGAAAGACTGTGCTCAGTCGGTGCAATTCAGACCCTTTTGTTTGAAGAACATAAGGGTCATAACATTGACCACAAGCTGAATTTCCAGGGACACATTCTAAATATATCAAAAAAAGTTTCAAAAACTGTGGGCATTCTTTCTAAGATCAGATATTATGTACCACGCCCTGCTCTGGTGACTCTCTATTACTCCCTTATCTATCCTTATCTCAACTATGGTATTTGTGCTTGGGGTTCTACTACCCAAAATCACTTACGTCCTCTAATTACCCAACACAAAGCCGCTATTAGAACAATATCCAACTCTGGCCCCAGACATCACTCGGTACCCCTACTCAAATCTCTTAATATGTTAGATATTAAGTCACTGCACATTCTCTCATGTGTATTATACATATATAAAACGCTAAACTATAATGCCAATCCTGATCTTAAAAGCTTCATAGAAGGTTGTAACAGAACCCATGAGCACCACACCAGAAATAAATACAGTTTTGATATTCCTAGAGTACGTCTTAATCAAACTAGAAATGCTCTGCAAATCAAGGGGCCCAGAATGTGGAATGACCTTCCCAACCATGTTAAAGACTGTACCTCTCTCAACCAGTTTAAGATAAAAACTAAACACTACCTAATAAATTCCCTGTAATCTACCTCACTCCTCTATTGTCAACCCATGTCTGTTATTTTCTTTTTTTTTTCTTTTTTTTAATAAACACTGTTTGTCAACCTATTGTATTTGTGCTGCTTTTTCAGTCATGTTCCCCCTTTTTTTTTTTTTTTTTTTTTTTTTTTTTTTATCTTTATTTGTATTTGTTCTCAACATCTTTTATTCTTTATGCTCAATTAGTATTAAGTTCTAGATATTAATGTTTTTCTTGCCCGAAACGCATTGCGTAATAGTGGCTTTAGGCATTGTATGTACTAGCTCTATCTATATATCAATCCATTAATGTAACATCACTTGTATGTATATACCTTACCTGAATAAACATCTGAATCTGAATCTGAATCTCATTGGTGAAGCTAGGCGCAATAAGGGCTTAACACAACGGTCGGATGCCAGTGATACAGCACCTATGAGGATGATACAGCAAGCATATCCAGGTGTAGCTTTGAGCCCCACCCTTGCCATTTCTAATGTATATAGATGATACATAGATGAATTGTTTTCTGCGTTCAGTGATGATGCATCTGATACAAGTAGCATAGATTAACAGTGTTAGCGGCTTCCATGGTGGTGGTGTTCATTGATATTTTCAAGAATACCTGAATCTTTTCCTGACTGATGGGCACTCTTTGAGGCTAGCTGAATCTCTTCCTGACTGATGGACACTCTTTGAGGCTAGCTGAATCTCTTCCTGTGTGGGACCTTACAAAGCGATCTTTTCAAGACTACCTTACAAATTGAGCTTTTCCTATAATCGTTTCAATACTACTTTATGCTTTACAAGCTTGGCTACATACCACCTACAAGTACTAAAGCCAAGAGTGCACGCGAGTGCGTTATTTGCAAGCACACATAACGATGAAACAGGAAACAAAAATCTATCTGTAGCTGGTGCAAGGAGAGCAAAGTCGCGCTGTGTACCATGGACTACTTCGTTGACTATTATGCACCTCCAAAGTACTGAGTGTGTAATACAGTGTGTTACTGTGTAAATAGTATGTGAAACTGTACATATTGTAATATTAGTGAATTTTTACCACGTAATATTGTGACAATAAACATTTATTGTGGACACATTACTGACACATGTATCACAGTTTCATGGAAAATTATGAACATTCTACTGTATACATATTGTAAAGGTCACAAATATGCATCATATACGATAAAAGAAACAAAAAAACCGCATGGGAAATGCATAGAAAAAATATTTGAAAATATATTTGTGGCAATACGCGGTGCTTGAATGGCCTGCGCGACCGTGTCTGGGAGCTTCACACACCGGCGACCAGCCCCTGATGACGTCACAGCACACCTTGTCCACGCCCTCACAGCCAAAGTACAGTGGTACCTCGGAATGCGATTGTCTCTGTATGCGAGGTTTTCGGAAGGCGAGGTGTATTTACTCCAAAAATTTGTCTCGGAAGGCGATGGTTACTTCGGGAGGCGAGTTTGGACGCGAGTTTGTTGATACGCGTACAGCCGACCTAGCGCGTTCGTCGCCCCTCCGCCCCTCCGTTTATTATTGTCTCGCGCTCAGTGACTACCCCCACATCAATTCTTCTCGCGGATTTTCAGTGTTTTGTTGGATTTTTGGTGATTTGTCTATACAATTTGTTATTATATATCTCACCATGGGTCCCAAGAAAGTCAGTGGTAAGGATAAAGGCCAGAAAGCTCATCTGAGGATGACAATAGAGGAGAAACAAGAGATCATTCGGAAGCATCAGAACGGTACACATGTTGTTGAACTTTGTAGGCAGTACAACAAAGCCACATCAACAATATGCACTATACTTAAGAAGAAAAATAAGATTATGGGTGCTAAAGTGGCAAAAGGAGTAAGAACATTAACGGCACAAAGACCACAAATACTTGAAGAAGTGGAAAAGTTGTTATTAATTTGGATACACGACAAGGAGTTGAGGGGTGATAGTGTTTCGGAGGCCATTATTTGTGAGAAAGCCAGGGTGTTGCACGAAGACCTTCTAAAGAATACCCTGCAACGAGTGATGCAGATAAGAAAGAGTTTAAGGCAAGCAGGGGCTGGTTTGAAAAATTTAGAAAGAGAAGTGGTATCCATAGTGTTACAAGGCATGGGGTTATGTGATGTGATTATGGTAGGGGACTCCCCTTCCAAACAGTAACTCCTCTCCTCCTCCCCCCTCCTCACCATCTTCCATACGCCTACAGCACTCGACAGCAAGGTAAGTAATAACTGGAACACAGTTTTGTAGGTTTATTTAGATGAATTAGGTAAATTAGGTATAAAAATTTAGTTTGATGTGGGGTTTTTGGGGTAGTCAGGAACGGATTAATTCATTTCCCTTTATTTCTTATGGGGAAATTAACTTCGGAATGCGAGTTTTCGGAAGGCGAGGCGTCTCCAGGAACGGATTAAACTCTTATTCTGAGGTATGCCTGTAAGTGGAATTTGGTAATTATTTTTACATAGACATGTTCAGGGACGGTAATTTATCATTTTACAAAGAAAAATTATATTTTGGGGAACATTTGATGTCATGCACACTGGGGAAATTTCACAATAAACACAGTGCATCACACTGGTTACATGGGGGACACTCGTTTTGTATGACGTCCGTTTCACATGACGAACATGGAACGGATTAAATTCGTTATGCGAGGTACCACTGTATATATATATATATATATATATATATATATATATATATATATATATATATATATATATATATATATATATATATATATATATAAAATGTCAGACTGTTTCAAATGATTCTAAATGAACAAAAATGAAAAATGCTATACTGTACCAACAAAAAACTTGCAATATGAACTTTCAATATATTGTATCTTCGGACAGATGAGTGGCAAACCAGAGTACGCAGGACAATTCAGTGATGATGGTCAGTGTTTAGATACAGCATACAGGATCTTGGCTGATCATATGCGAATGGTGACAGTTGCACTTGCAGATGGCATGTTTCCAGAGGAGGGGTAAGGTTATATTACATCTGACTTGCTTCAGAAGTTTCAGCATATACGTACCTGATTTACCCACAGAAGGTTTATAAGCCCATGCAAGGCAGCACCTATTTATATTCACCCAAATTCATATATGTATAACCTTCACTTAACACAATTTAGTTATCCCATTATCTGTTATTGTTTTCAATAATTTGTTACTTAAATCAACAGCAACCCCTTTTCCTTACCAACATTTGCCCAGGTCTTTTATGATTCTTAAGTTATCCAGTTTGTTTCCATTGTTTTATGTTCTATTTTGTGTTATATACTGCAAATAATATCTTATTAATTTCACCTCTGTTATACTCAGTCACCCATTTATTTAATTGAATCATATCACCCCTTACTCATTGTCAGAGATATAGTTATTTATGTGTTTACTTAGATTATGACACAGTTGGGTAGTACTGGCGATGCAAGAATTATGATTTTCTTATAGGATCATTTAAAGGGTACTTGGGAGTCACCAGAGAAAATTATCATTCTGGCCAGGGCAACAGATATTTAAAAGTCTGTTAATACACTCAGAAGAAAAAATACCCCCCCCCTATGTGCCATGTTAATGATTGCCAAATGAAGCATGAAGTGTCCTAACTTACATTAAATACATGAAATGAATTAAATACAAATCAGACTACTGCTTGCTGCTTGCCTCACTTTAGGTGGCAGCACTTCTGTGTAGCAGACTATGGCATTACCCACCAATACAAAATTAACATAAACAGTGGATAATATTTCATTAAAAGTTTTACAGTTTCACACAGCTCTAAGATTTTGACAGACCCCCTTCAGGCTGTGAGGTCCTAATTGTTTATGTTATAACTAAATCCAGTCCTGCCCAAGGGTCAACCCTTCATGCTTTTTCTATTACTTTTGATCGTTTATTTCCCTTTCTGAAAATTCGTCCTCGTCTGAGAAGAGGCTGTTTGGAATAAGCTTGGGGTACTGCTGAGAGACCCCCGCCCAGTAATAAAGTATTTAAAGTTACGAGAAACCTTTATGGGGGGGGAGCCCCTGCGGCTCCCTGGAGCTATCCAGGCTGATATGGATATCCCTAACTTTGGCATCAGTCGATGTGGGTGGAGTTCCAGGGCCTACCGGGGACCACGAGGCAGAACCTGGCCCCCTTGAGAGAGTCGCAAGGAGCATTGGCCTATAGAAATGCACAATGTGATTTTGGAGCATTCTATATCTGCTATCGACCGGGACAGGCACCCAAAAAGGTAAGCGCCCCAAAACAAACCCCTATTCTGGTTAAAAACGATGAAAATAGGCAAATGAGTGGACAGAACACCCCAATTGAAAATGAGCAAACAAGCATGACATCACACGAGCTGTGTTTCATGTCTATGCAGCTCCCCCCTCCCTGGGAGGGGGAAGGGGGAGCCCCAGATTCCCGCGCCGGCGATCCACCCTGTGTTCTTCGGCTGATGGGATATGGCTTGGTCATTGTGACCCCAGCTCCGGACTCTTGTTGTGCTGTCCTCTGTTTCATGTTTCAGTACTGCTCTTACGGTGGTGTGCGAGCTGGGAGGAATATTCACAGGCGTTCGGGCTGCATGTGCTTTGGGTCACCTTCCTTGAGTGCCCTGTAAGTACCACCCTTGGGGCTTTTGGTTCCCTTCCACAAGTCACCTTGGGTCTACCTCTGTTGGTCTTTTGCTGCTTGGAGATTGACCGCCCCAAGTGTTTTGGGGGTTTCCTCCCTGGTTTGCCTTGGGGTAAGTGGTAGTTTTTGCACTGGTAGGGGCGCGGGGTACTGCATAGCTAGTTTTCACCTATAACAGCAGCTGGCTCTGTTCCCTCTAGGTACGCTGTCCTCTTGTGAGGTTTTCTTATCTTTTTGTTTTTGCCTGGTGGGGGGGGGGGGAAGAGGAAGGGCTGCCTTGGTGTTCCTTCCCTTTTATACTAGAGTAGTTTGTTTTTGGTGGTACCCTTTGCTTCGCCCTCGTGAGTGGACACGTACCAGGGGTTCAGCATTAGCAGTGTTGATTAGTAGCTTGGGTGCCAGTTAGCAGTACCTTGCCTGGGATTACCCTTAGCAGACCCAGTTTAGGGGCCCTGGGAAACCTTGCGGGGGCACTTGGATCCAATGGATGTGACCCATGAGTCCCCTCCTGCTTTTTGCTTGTTTGAGGGTTACTCTGTTGTTTTTGCCTCTGTCCCACTCCCAGAGGAGGATGGGAGCTGCACAGACATGCGGTGCGGCTCATGTGACGTCATGCTTGTTTATTCGTTTTCAATTGGGGAGTTCTGTCCACTCGTTTGCCTATTTTCATTGTTTTTAACCAGAATAGGGGGTTTGTTTTGGGGCGCTTACCTTTCTGGGGCCAGATTCACGAAGCAGTTACGCAAGTACTTACGAACGTGTACATCTTTCCTCAATCTTTGACGGCTTTACATTTATTAAACAGTTTACAAGAATGAAAACTTGCCAATCAACTGTTGTTATTATTATAAAAAGCATTAGATGTTTAATAATTGTAAACAAAGCGACCAAAGATTGAGAAAAGATGTACAGGTTCGTAAGTACTTGCGTAATTGCTTAGTGAATCTGGCCCCTGGGTACCTGCTCTGGTCGATGGCAAATATAGAATGCTCCAAAATCATATGTGCATTTCTATAGGCCATTGCTCCTCGCGCCTCTCTGAGGGGGGCCAGGTTCTGGCTCGTGGTCTCTGGTAGGCCTAGAACTTCACCCATATTGACTGATGCCAAAGTTAGGGGTATCTATATCAGCCTGGATAGCTCTGGGGAGCCTCCGGGACTCACCCAGAAAGTGGCGTTTCCATTACATTCAATGCTGGTTTTCTGTTGGGCTTCTAAGTACAGTCTTTGGTCCCCTTCTTTCTTAGTAGGCTAGGGTGGATCTCAGAACCCCTATGTGATTTCCTATGACCTGAAAATACAAGTGCTTAAGCTCATGGAGCTACTGAGAAGTTCATTAGAAAATGACATATCATTATATTCAATGCTTGATGTTAATTTTATAAAGGAAAAATAATTGTACTGTATTAAAACTCACCTTCTTTTTTTGGAGGGAGCCTCTTGTGGCTTCATGAAGATATCGTCCTGAGATGGCTTCATACTAAAAGGTCACATCAGTAGCAGATAATTTTGTTTGGCCTACCAGGGACCAGAGTCAGAACTTGGCCCTCTCATAAGAAGAGTAGGGAGCAGGTGACACTCTGTCACGTCACCAGAAACACCCTCCAGAAAGTCAGCACAGCTTTACAGACAACTGGATAGTTCACAGAAAATGAAACCTTGAAAACCACCAAACAACTACCACAAATGGGTCAACGGAACAAAGGATTCACTCAAATGAGCTTGAGACTCGTTAGAACCGATTACCACCAGCAGGTGGCCCAGCCCTGGCTTGCAGCCAGCGCCCAAGCCAGTTCTGTTCCTGATGTTAGTGTCCTCACACCAACGTGTAATGCTTCTGGTCATGCCTGCATGTGAGCAAGCCCCAAAGCTTCAAGCTAAGCATTGGATATCCTTGGACTTGCTTGTCCTGTGGAGAGCATTTACTTTATTGTAGTGTTTCCAATTTCAGTGTAGCTTCATGTGTGTTTTTATTCTGGCTTGTTGTCTGTGAGAAATCAAGACAGGTGTCTTGGTTTCTTTGTTGGGCCCTTGGTTTGGGGCATTCTTTGGTTGTGCTGGGGCATACAGAGAGTTCGCGTGCTGTGCAATGTTCACCTCCTGTAACCTGGTGGTTCAGGTGAGTCCAGGTGAAAGGGTACAGTTTGTGTCTGTTCCTCCAGTGAGCAGCCCAGGTACATGGGGTATCGGGTTTATGTCGTTGTCATTATAAATAAATAAATAATATAAATATGTTTATTCAGGTAAGGTACATACATACAAGTGATGTTACATTAATGGATCAATATATAGATAGAGCTAGTACATACAATGCCTAAAGCCACTATTACGCAATGCGTTTCGGGCAGAAACGCATTATGGAGTACCATAATTATGGAGTTCCATAATTCGGGCATTACCCTGGAAACACAAACCGGAACTGTCTCTATTTTCCGCTTGTTACAACTTGTAATAAAGTTGTTACATCTTGGCTTAACGTGTTTATGACGTATTAGAACGTTGTTACAACTTGTTATATTGGTTGTTATAACTGGTTAGGAGGTGTTAAAACTTGTTTGAACGTTGTAGCAACGTCTTAGTTTCGGTGTGTGTTTGGTGGGTATGGAGTACCCATCAATCCTGGTCTCACAGTTTGTGAGTTTTAGGGATGTTCATTAGCTCTGCTACCTGACAATTATAGCAGCCCAGGTACATGGGGTATCGGGTTTATGTCGTTGTCATTATAAATAAATAAATAATATAAATATGTTTATTCAGGTAAGGTACATACATACAAGTGATGTTACATTAATGGATCAATATATAGATAGAGCTAGTACATACAATGCCTAAAGCCACTATTACGCAATGCGTTTCGGGCAGAAACGCATTATGGAGTACCATAATTATGGAGTTCCATAATTCGGGCATTACCCTGGAAACACAAACCGGAACTGTCTCTATTTTCCGCTTGTTACAACTTGTAATAAAGTTGTTACATCTTGGCTTAACGTGTTTATGACGTATTAGAACGTTGTTACAACTTGTTATATTGGTTGTTATAACTGGTTAGGAGGTGTTAAAACTTGTTTGAACGTTGTAGCAACGTCTTAGTTTCGGTGTGTGTTTGGTGGGTATGGAGTACCCATCAATCCTGGTCTCACAGTTTGTGAGTTTTAGGGATGTTCATTAGCTCTGCTACCTGACAATTATCATTCATTCTGCCTTCCCCCCAGCCATGCTGCCTGTTGGGTTAGTGATGTTTACGACCCAGAGTTCTGTGAGGTGTGTTTTTATTGGGTCTCATCTCCCAGATAAGAGGCTTTCTAGGCAGCTGATCCTTCATGGGCTCAATTTACCCATATGAAGCTTTCATGGCATAT